AAAGACCAGGATTCTGTTTTCATTTTATTTGTTCTAATGGGCAAATCATGGAAGGATCCAGAACAGATCTTTGACTCTCGAAATGTATATTACTTGACTTAGTAAGAAAGTTGGCCTACCGAAGGTAGAAGACACATCATGGGGAGCATAGCAGTCTCCTCAGTCCTAGTCATGTTGGGCAATTGTACAGCCATACAGCAGCTAGCATTACATTTTCTCAAGATGACAGTTGCAGAAACAACAAATAAAACAGGTCAAGTCCAAATGTGAAATTAGGGAGAAAGGGGGATTACAAACTCCTTGTGCATCTTTCACCTTAAGCTAACAATGCCCAAAATGAACACAGGTGAATGACTGACTAGATAAAGATCTCCCCTTCCATTCATTCTACCCTTGCTTTTCTACTTCAGGTAATACTGATTTGCAAAACAGTAAATCTAGTTGAAGATAATGCTGTTCTATTGCTATATGACTTTTATTCAGTGTCTGGAAGCAGATCCAAGGGCTTAGAGAGTGAGTTATTAAATATTTTCATTATAATTCAAATTTATTATCATCCACATTATATTTTATTATAATCATTGGAAAGATTTTGATATTTTATTATGAGCAACTCAAATACACACAAAATATAGTATTAAGGGTCCCATCCTTAGATTTAAGTTTCTTTTTTTTTTATTTTTGGTTTTTTGAGACACCATTTCTCTGTGTAGCCATGGCTGTCCTGGATTTACTTTTGTAGACCGGGCTGGCCTCAAACTCATAGAGATCCTCCTGCCTCTGCCTCCCCAAGTGCTGGTATTACAGGCATTCACCACCGCTCCCAGAATTAAGTTTCATTTTTAATATTTGCTTTATGTACTTACTTAAAACTATAGTGGTAAAGGTGTGTTTTCTTTAAAGATGTTTCTACTATAACAAGGTATAAAAATATTTCATCCATAATTCTCACCCATCCTACCCTCCAATTTCCTGTGTGTTTATGGCCACAATGCAATGAGAATTTAGCTGTGAAACTAGTATACAAATTTGCTTTTGTATACTAATATTCACATTTCTAGTCTAGTATTCACTCAGCAGCATTTCGGACGTACCTCAATGTTGAAGAGCATAAAATGATATAAAACAAAATAGAAGATGGCTCCTGACATATGTTTGTTAGGAATGGACATTTTAAAGATATTTGTCTAGAAAACTAAAGAGAAAAAGTCTGTGTCATGCTAGGAGGTTAAAGTTGAAAAGGTAGCATTAGCATTGTTAAAGGGATTGGGGGAGGTAAGCTACTCCCTGTCTGTTAGTCTGATTCGTGAGCTGGTAGAGTTCCATGTACCTGGCACCCCTGTATACCAGGTGCCTACAGAGTCACTGGGAGCCAGTGACTCATGCATGTGGTAGAGAAGCCAAAGTTCAGGCAATGGTTGGGGCTAGACTGCTTGGACCCACCATTAGATTGGCTGGTTTACCATTGTGTCTCACCATGTGGAGATGGAGCTGGTAGTCAGAGTTGAGTTATTTTGCATCTTTTAAAATATATATTTATTTAATGTATACTGGTGTTTTGTCTGCACATATGTCTGCACACTATTATATGGCATCGGATTCCATGAGACTACAGTAATAGATTCCATGTGTGTGCTGGGAATTGAAACCAGGACCCTCTGGAAGAATAGCCAGTTTTCTTAATTACTGAGTTATCTCTCCAACCCCTATTCAGCAATTTTTAAAAAACTGTTGTCTGGGTTGGGTTTATAGCTTAAGTGTTAGAGTACTTGTTAGCATGCTTGAGGCCCTGGATTTGATCTCTAGTAACACCGAAATAATTTAATTGTTTTTTTTTTCTTGTTTGTTTGTTTGAGACAGGATTTCTCTATGTAGTCTTGGCTATCCTGGACTCAGTTTGTAGACCAGGATGGCCTGGAACTCACAGAGATCTACCTGCCTCTGCCTCCCCGAGTGCTGAGATCATAGGCATGCACCACCGCACCTAGGTAATTTATTATTATTTTTTTTATATTAGGACTCTGCTACTTAAAACAACAATAACAAAAAGCATATAAAACAACCAAGGAAAGCTAGTAATGGAGCTCAGTTGATAGAGTGCTTGCCTAACATACAGGAAACCCTGGACTGGTTCCCTAGTAGCACATTGTCCTGGTGTAGTGGAATGTGCCTATAATCTTTGCACTCAGGAGGTAAAAGCAGGTGGATTATAAGTTCAAAGTTTAAGGCAAGCCTGCAATACATGAAATCATGTTTAAAAAGCAATGAGTGAATGAATGAATGAATCTTACATGAGAAAAGCAACCCTTTTAGGTTATCATTTCCTACTACAAATGCCCTCCTCCTGGGTTTGAAGCTTTCCTCATTTTTTTATCTTATGCTCTGCACACTTGGTAAAGTTTACCTTTCATTGAAAGTCAGCTACAGAAAGAGCCATTTGAAACATGCTTTTCTCTTACATTTTTTTTCTCTTTTCCCACTTATTGTGGTGCTGGGAATTAACTCCAAGGCCTCAAGGTTGCTAGGCAAGCACTCTACCACTCAGCTACATCCTAGCCTTTTATCCACTTCTTTTACTTGCTTTTTAAAGTTCAATAAAACTAGAAAACAAGCACATGGTAGTTGTAAGCTGGTTTGACTTTACTAAATTCAGACTTTGTCAGTTATTCAAGACCCATTTTTAAAAATTCTGTATTTTTTATTCACATGTCCCCATGTAGACAACAGCTTGATTCATATTATAAGAGAAAATAATGTGGTTATATAAACTAGTAGACCTAGGTTCTATGTAGACACAAATTTCCTTTGAAATGAGAATCAAATCAGTGAACAAATACTCTTGACATTTATGATTGCTTTTCAGATGAGCTACGTTCTTGGTCTCCAGCTTGTGTTTATCCCTGTAAAAATGATTGTACTGGGTTGGAAAGATGGTTCAGCAGTTACAAGCACTTGCTGCTCTTCCAGAGGACCCAAGTTCAGTTTCCAATACCAATGTCTGGTATCTCATAGCCATTTATAATTCCAGTTCCAGGGCATCTGATGAACTCTTCTGGCCTCTGTTAACAACCCTACTCATGTTCCTCTACCCCCACCCCCACACATATTAAAAACTAAAATCTTTTTTTAATATTATAGCTGTTTCCTGTATTATAACTACTGAGCCAAGAATGATAGGCAAAAAACTTGAGAGACTCTTCTCATTGAACATGTCTAAGAAAAGTGGGAGAAACATTCCAAAAACATTATCTCTTTCATCTCAAAACAAATGGCTTCTTCATTCCACTTTGAGATTTAGTAGAAATAAATTGGTAAATATTTTGCAGTATAATTGCTCTTAAGAACTGAATCTCTAAATTGTGGTATGCATGGTGGGGTGCTTCAGGGCCTGACTGTGCACTTATGTCTCTTCCCTTTTGGCAGGAAATTACTACATGTTTGCCAGATTACTACAAATGGACACAATATCTGTTTATCAAACTCTATGAAGCTTATCAAATGGAGTTATGTTCATGTTAGCTACACTTTTAAAATTTTATAAATCCTCTCTGTCTCAGAATCTTCTCTGTTAGCCAGGTGTGATGGTGCATGCCCTTATTTCTAGCACTAGGAAGACAAAGGCAAGCAGATATCAGTGCGTTCCAGGCTAGCCTGTCTTACTATATAGTGAGACCCTGTCTCAAAACTACTAAAACAAAACAAAATTCATCACTTTCATGTGAGAAATAAAATCCTATTTGCACATAATGGTAAAGATGAATGCTGCTTCAGGCTCATATACTCCTCTGCAGCAGACCTTGCACTACCTAAAATAAAGCAGTGTTTGGTCCTTTCTATCTACTAAGTAAAATTTTTCCTGAATTCTCCCTGATGAGTCAATTTTCCTAGTCTTATGAACCTAAGCATTTTAGGTCCTAGATACTTATATCATGGTCTTCTTTATATGTTTATGTGGAAAAGACCTTGGGGACCTGATGTTAGAAGAAATAAACTATTTGATGCTGGTCTTTCCATCTGATACCAGACAGCATATCTTCAAGTTTTTTGTGACTACATAACCTGTGGTTGTAAAATTATAACACAGATTATAGTTTATGGGCTGATTAACCTCTCCCACCCTGATGTTTATGACTCAGAACCAGTCAGGTCCCAACACATTCTGAAAGAGGCACTGAAGAGAATACAATAAAGGACTTGACTGTGCTGTCTTTAGCACTGCCTCGAAAGGCTGGAAAGTATCTAGCACTGGTGACAGAGGATACTCTTGTCACCTGACAAGCTTGAGGGCAATGTCAGGCCCCTGATCAGGCAGGAGTGGCTATAGCCTCACAGTGTTGTAACCATTAGTAACATTGCCCACAGCCCACCAGAGTTCCTCACAGAAGGCAAACCATCCTGCAGTCCAGAGTTGAGGTAGATGCAGGACATGAGCAAGAGAGAAGAAGGGTCTGTGCGGTGTATAGGTGTTAGCTCCATCTCGATGGGAATTACTGACAATACTTTTTGGTGCCAAGGAACTACACATGTTAAACACATCAACTACCATTAAGTTTTTAAACAGTGTAATCAGGTAAAGCAAGCTCCAGACTCCTCTGTACTCACTGCCTTCTTTATACTAGGAGACACCTGAATGTCACAAACTGGTAAGTATAGGCAGTGGTATTTGTTTTAAACTAAGACTAAAACTAACAGGAACTCTGTAGTGTCTTCATCATGATTAGGACCACCTGTTCTACCTGCCAAGTGAGTCTGTGGAGTCAGACTCAGAATTGTTACCCTTAGGGGGACAGTGTTGAAGGCAGAAGGCATAGCAGTTCTGGAGCTGATGAAAATGTTCTATATTTTGACATTAGTAGTGGTTACATGCCTACTCATTTAAAAATTCATTCATTGTTCACTTAAGACATATCTACTTTTTATATATTACACATTAACTTAAACTACAGTCTTTCAAAATTGCAAATGTAGCTTAATTTCTTGAGACTCGAGTTTCTTTTTTTTTTATTTTAATTTTTGAATTTTAATTCAAGTACAAGTCAGCTAGTTAACATAAATACAAAATAAATGCACATAATTTGCAGCCATGTACAAAAATGCAACAACAGTAACACTCACATGAATGGGCAAAACTCATCAGCTCTTTTAAAGCTGACTAAACTATGAATGATTGGTATAATTTAATTCACATCCACTGGGGTACATTCAAAAAGTTTAACAAAACTGATCAGAACTAGAGTTTTTAGTTTCTAAAATGGATAGCATAAAAGTCAAGGTACACTTGAGAAACATAAAGTTATGGTGGAGAAGGTATGTGAGGAGGCAGAAAAGCACACTTTCTTTTACATTCTGTCCTATTTAATCAGACATACCGATCTTCTAAGGAATGTTGAAAGTCGTGATTAACGATGATAAATGAGCTGTGTATACACCCCACAGGGGTCCCCAGCACACTAAAACAGTTCAGACAGAAGAGCATGTGAACCAAAAGGCATGAAGAAAACAGGGATTTCTTCCACTTACAGTCTTCAAATTGAAATCACTATTTTCTGATTTTAAAAAGCCAAATATTTAGACTTTAGTAAATGAACATTTATTCTTTTAAACACCCCAAACTGTGCTCATCCTAATGGGGCAAACATCCAGGTTTAGGAGACAAAAGGCTGGGCTATGTGACCTAACAATGCTGTCAGAATTACAGAATTCAGAATTACAATCTAGCTTGAGCCCCCTCTAGTCAGTCAGGTTGGTTCCACACAGTTACATAATGGGAACTGGACAGATTTAGTGAGTATGGAGGGGCGGGTCTCTTATGACAGCAAAGGCAGAAGTTTAAGGTCATCTTGGGCAGTAAGAGGCAAATCATTAAAAAAAAATAAAATAAAAGGAAGGAAGAAATCAAACCGAACCAAAGACAAGTCTGGTAGCAGGTCCCTGGAAATTTAAAGCACTGTATGGTATCCTACTACAGCTTGGCAATTCACCAACTGGAATATGCAAGTTTCAAGCCTTTGAGCAACAGTAGCAGAGTTCTAGCTGCTGCTGTGTGAGGTTTGCTTCCAGTAGTTACTGTTCCAGCCTAAGTTCAATATTCTGAGAAGACTACAACAAAAGTATACAACAAGGTCCACACTAGGTCTCTAAGAAGTTTTAAAAGGTTATCCGACTGAAAACAGGTTGTAAAAAGGCCAATGCATAGAGTATGCACATCTTTTTAAACATTACAACTGATTTAAGAAAATTTTCAAAGAAATACTTTAGAGACAAACTATATATAACACACGTATGAGTTTTCTTTTGGATTATCTCTGTCATAAAGTAAACTGTGGCAGATAGTGCTCAGGGGAAAACAAAAGACCTCATTGCTCCTTTCCAACAGCTGCTTTACAAGGAAATACTGAGACTCTAAAACCCCTTTCTGCAGAACACACACTAATACTTTAAAAGCTGAGTACAATGTACTAGAGGTTAATAAGTCTTACTTGCAAAATACAGAGTATCACATGTTCTTTCTTGAAGGACACTTATTATGGATTTGCTACGACTACATAAGGTGTTCCTTGGCTGCTGGTTTGTGTGTCATTCTTCATCCCTTGCGATTTGTGTAACACAGGAGAACATGCCCTACATTCAACACAACTAAGTGTTATGGATCTTCCCACGAGCAAATGGTGCTGTATTAGGCAGTATCAATGGCACCTGAAGAGGAAACACTATAGCCTGAGACCTCCTCTACAGATTTAAGTTAAACCCACAAGCAGGTATTTATTTTTTGGTATGTTCCATGTAATAAATGTCAAAGCTGTAATAATTCCAAAGGTAACAATCTAAACTTCCTTTGGTCTCCAAATACATTGACTGGAATATTTGTAATTCCAATTGAGCACCTCAAAAACATCCAGTTACTGTTACAAGGAAGTCAAGGTGAGAAATTTAAGAAGGAATTACACTTCATTGGTGAGAGCAGAAAAAGCTTTCAATGGCATGTGGTTTTTCCATAATATTGTGGCATTACACAGTACACTGCACACTTAAAACACTGTTAAGATCTCCAAAACATATGTAAAATCCAGAAAAATATTATGAACACTGCTTCTGCCCAATACATAACAACGTTAAAAAAACTAACATGAATTCTCTCCTAATTCTTAACCCCTCAAAAGGCCACAAAGCGCATTCACAAAGTCACTCTGAAGAGAAAGCCATTGCGCAAAATGTGAAGTTAAGGTACACTGATGAGTTAAGTACCGCAGTGGAGTTTAACTGTAGAAGCTTAATATACTAGTATAGCAACACCCATAGGAAAATCTATAGTACTGCAGCAAACACCTTCATAATGGCCATATATCATACATTAAAGTATTAGAAGGTGTTGCTGACTCAATAGCAAAATTTTAAAACTACATCTTGTTAACACATTGAACTAAAATTAGCCCAGCTCTATGACAGAGCATTCCAGAAACTAGGACAGAATAACATTGTCCAATGCAGCACACTCATTTACAGACTCTTTGCCAACTAAGATTTGCTCTATCTGATAGCTGAAGGCTTCTTTTTGTAATAGTTATATTGTCCTAAATACTTCAAGGAACCTATAAAGGACAAAACTGAAAAATACCATTTTCTCTACCAACCAATACAGATGTGGAAATAACTCAAAGGTTAAAATTCTTAATGTGAAAGTAAGTAGAAAAAGTTCAAGTGTTAGCTTTTCTACTTTTAAAGTAGGGTTGAGACTGTGATAATCACATTACAGCTCACAGATTATGGAATCAAAATTGCATCCATTCATGCATTTCATAATTGGAGAAAATTTGAGGATGTTCTCTAAGTCACTGAGTCAGTATCCACTTGCTTTTTCTTTTTCTTTTTTTTTTTGGGGGGGGGGCTAGAGAGACAACCATGGGTGCTGGGAACCGAACTCTTATATTTTTGGTTGTGAGCCTAGCCTTTAATGGCTGAGCTATCTCTCCAGCCCATCCACTCGCTTTCTTTATAGCCCAAACCAAAAACCATGTGCATTTGATTAACCATGTGCATTTGATATGTAAACTTAAAGTCCACATTATGATAGATATCTTTTAGCTATAACCAAAACATTTTTAATGCTGAAAATACATAAAATATGTTAAAGTGCAGTGATCACTGATGTCAAATAAAATATTGTAGCAGGTAAGATCTTTTGGGGAAATGGTATTAAGGATCTACCTACTGTTTAGAGTATTCCAGGGGAAATCTAGTTAGACATCTGTAATTGTCACTACTCTCTTTGGAAAACTACAGCACAGTATATACCTAGGGATGACTTTGTTTAAAAGGCCAAAAAAAAAAAAAAAAAAAAAAAAAAAGCTCATGGAATTAACACTATATTCTGAATGTTGTCAATCAATACAACGAAACCATAGCTGTTGATCAATGGCAGAGAAAACGGCAATTTTGAGCATGGAATGCTTTTCAAAGCATTCTCTTAAGAGGCGGCACAGGCTTTTTTTACTGAAAGACCAGTGTGGTGTGGTATCTTATGTTTTATAACCAAACTTCCACTCAGCCATAGTAGTTAAAACATGTTTCCAATCTACTGTCTTCTGTCCACCTTGCTGGCTTCAAGATCCCCTGGTCCACTGGCATCTTTTGGTCTCCCTGCTCTGTAGCATGGCAGCCCCTGCTGCTATCCATTAAGGAGGTAGACAACCAATTCATAAGTGGCCATTAGAATGGCTGTGTTTGGAATCTGTCTCACCAGATGAGTTGTTAGACCGCGGTAAAGGGACCCATAACCTTCTTCTTGAACAATCAAAGATAGTGTCTGAAAAAAAGATCTGTATTTTGTTCCTTCTTCACGTAGTCTTGTTCTTACAACTTCATGTGGATACGCTATGGTGGTAGCACAGGTTTTGGAGGTGGCAGCAGCTAGCATCATTCTCACAAAATCTGATGCTTCCTTCACAGACTCTTCATCACTTTCCATCACAGAGGCAGTCTTATATTCTAATAGTTTTTGCTTAATGCTTTCATAAATAACAAAGTGGATAACTGTCTCTGAAATGCCGGCATATGAGGCAGACATGCCTCTGTAAAATCCTTTCAGTCCATCTGTCTGATATACTTTACGAACACATTCAAAAGCACCCATTCGCTTTTCCCCACGATTCCTTGCATCAAGCTGTAACCGAGTCTTTATAAGCCAAATGGGGTTTGTTGCAGTGATTGCAGTAAAACGAGGTTTAAGTTAGTCCATATTTCTACAGGAAGTGACCTGCGGATGGGGAGCATGAGATGACACGATCTCACTCTTTTCTCGGGAGAAATGTACAGTAAATGCCTGCCATTGCAGCTGAAACCATGTGTACTTGGGTAGAATCAGGATCAAAAACACCATTCAACTTTTCCTTGCAGTTTGAATAAGCAGCAAAGTATATTGCTCTGGAGGGGGCCACCCCCACCAAATTGGGGCCTAATCCTCTAAACAACGAGCGAGGGCCTTCTTTTTCCAGGATAACCTTTAGACAATGCAGAGGTCCAGGGGACACTACTCGGTTCACACTTGCTCCAGCCATCGTGTTCAGCTGAACTTCAGATATATACAGTGTCACAGAAGATGACTGCAACCGCGTTTTGACAACTTCCAGTGGACATGTCAGAATAGCTCCCACTGTACCACCACATCCCCCGGCGAACAGATGCACCAGCGTGTCCCTCTGGCTCATCCTCTCTTCCGCATGTCCTCCGGGCGCAGAGGCGGGACGCGGACCCAGCAGCACCGCTACGGCCGGGAGAAGGCGCGGCGGGGTGCGGGGCGGGGGGGGGGGGACACGCCGGGGAGCGGGCGGGACCGCGGCTGCGGAAGGCCACCGGCCGGCCCTCCCCGCTGCGCTCCTGCTCCGGCGAGCTCAGACTGCCGAGACTCGAGTTTCTTCCCTGTCTTTCAGTATGTCTCTGACCTTAGACATGTTACACTGCTTCTCTACTACTCATAATCATTCTCTGTGATAGGATTCTCTGAGGATAGGTGTCTCCTTACCACAAAGTTGATGAAAGGGCCACATCTAAGCTGAGGATAGTGGCACACAACTGTAATCTAGGGATACTGAGGGAGAAATAGTCCAAGTTTGAAACTAAACCCGAGCTAGATAACCACTTAGCTGTAACCCACTTATCATGGAAACTTAGCACCTGGTTATCACTCATAAAGTTAGTGCTGTTATTAAAGACCAGTATATTTATTTCTTCTTCAGTAATCCTATTCTTCAAAACTTTAAATAGTACCATTTTTTTCTTCTTTTCCAAAGTGTTCCAGAGTTTCTAATCCTGAATGTTCATCCTGTCATTCAAGAAAAACCTAAGGTTGAAATAGACACATGCTGAGAGGCTTCCACTTTCTTAAGCATATTCTCACAAGGGCATTTTGTATGTTCTTGTCACAGCTTTCTAGTGGCACATTGGTCAGGCAGCCCACCTGAAGGTGTCTTCACACTGTTATGTTACAACCTTGTTCTCGAAGGGCACCTCCACAGGGCATTCACCACAGTGCACTCCCCTGTCTCCCGCATCCTGACAGGCCTTGGTTAACTGGGATCCAGTCGATCAAACAGTGCTAGCCAGGTGAATGACTATGGCTGTTCATGGTGCTCTGGAGTCAAGGTAGAGAAGAAGTACTTCTGACAGTAGTTCATTAAGATAACTGCATATGGGGCTGGAAAGATGGCTCAGCAGTTACTAGCACTGACTGCTATTCCAGAGGACCTGGGTTCAATTCCCAGCACCCATGCGGCAGCTCACAACTGTCTGTAATTTCTGTTCCAGAGGATTTGACACCCCCACATAGACATGCATGCAGTCAAAACACCAATGTACATAAAAAATAATACATTAAAAAAAACAACTGTATATGCAAAGGTAAGTGATAGAGACGTTCATTAATGCCTAAAATGTGGGTATACCACACTTGCAAGCTCTACTGAAGGAGCTTAAGCAGAGTTCTTAGAGAAGGGCAGAGAGCCTCAGTGTTGTTCAGATATATACAGGGTGGTGAGCAAGGTCTTGAATTTTTAACAAGAAAGGCATCTGAAGGTCATTACAGGTCCTTTTTTGATGAGGTATCACAAAACAGCAGTAACTCTACCTGCAATTATGCATCCAAAAAGGGAAAGGGGACTGAGTCTTTGTGTAATTCCAAAGGGCTTGAGTTAGAGTTTCTCTGCACCATTGCTTATAGTGACCTGGAAGTAAAGAGCTGACTGGTCTCCAAGAGGGAAAGCCAGAGTAAAAATGAGCTGATCCAAGTCCAAAGTTCCAGATGTGACTCTCCTATGCATTTGATTAGTTGTACAGGCTGCCCTGGGCCTCAGTCTATTGATAAGTAAAGATGAGCAATTAGACCTGATGACAGTTCCAGCAGTGAAAGCAAAGTTGCTTAATAAATCATAGTGGCTTTGACAAAGTCATGAGTTCTGTATGTGTGTAATACCCAGCGCTTTTTTTTTGGGTTGGGTCTCATCTGCAGGTAACTCAGGTCAGATATAGTATACAATAAGGCTCATGTGTGAGAAAGCACATAGTCCCACCAGCTCAGCAGAGCCCCAGTGTCCTCCCTTTAAAGACTGCAGTGAGGCGCATTTAGTTTTAGTTTACTTTGATATAGCAGACCCTAGGCATGCACCTGGAAAAGATTCAAAAGAGCTTGTTAGGAGAGCAACTCTGATAATACGGCTTTCTGTGTAGCTCCTCTCTGTTAGCCTTAGGCCTACCATATTCCTCAAAGGGTAGTCATTCTTCCCTTCCCCCACCCTCCAGAGACTCTCCGATGGCATATTGGAAAGGAGGGGTGCCAGTTCCCTTCCTTACCTGCTATGCAACTTAAATGGCTATAATGGAAGACCTGTTTAGCACCTGTGTATTGACCTTTGCTTTGTGTTGGAAATGTAATAACCTGTCCAGGGGCATTGTTTTTCATAATGTTAGCTGTGAATTTTCAACTGTTGAGCAGAAATGGTGAGTTGCCATGGTAACTCTTGGTTCTTGCTGAACTCTTGTGCAGGTTTATTGAAAAAGCTCTTAGGAGATTAGCACTGAAAACTGGGAAAGGGGGGAAGAGTCCATGATGCTGGCACATGCAGTGGCTCTGTTAAGAGAGCAGACCCACAGCTGTGAAGAACATGGAAACCTTTGGGTTACACCTGGCTAAAAGAGGCACTGAGTCTCCAAAGGCCATTGGAAGCATGAATAACACCCTAGGACTGCGGAAAAAAAGAGAGTAGAGTGGCCTTACTGAAAATTAAAAGTAAGCCTCTGAAAGGCTCAAATAGAATTACTAGAATTGCCGGGAGCCAAAGCTATCTACGGAAGCCAAAGCCAAAGCTATCTAGCGAAGACAAAGGTATCTACCGAAGCCAAAGTCAATTAGTGAGCCAAGGCTATCTACGGAAGCCAAAGTCAAAGCTATCTAGTGGAGACAAAAGTAGTTACTGAAGCCAAAGCCAAGTAGAGAGCAAAGGTCATTTAGTGGAGACCTAAAGCTATGTAGTGAAAGAGTTATCTAGACCCTAAATCATGGGTGATAGATTGTGAGGACATCCTTTGTTAGAGCATCCGTAAGATATCTTAAGAGAACATCCTTATGCTATCTTGCAGGTACAATATTTAACCCATGAAAGCACTCTTCCTGTCTCCTGCAGCAGCTAATTACCTTCCCCCTTTTTCTGCCTTCTCCCTATATAAGTTGGGTAAAAAATTCTAATAAACGGATGCCTTGATCAGATGAACAGACTTGGCTTTCATTCCTGTGTCTCTTGTCCCCTCTCCCCCATTCCTTCCATTCTCCTACTTTAGGAACCCTATTGAAGCCTCGTGGGATGGGGCATAGAATAAAATAGATCCAAAGGGGTTCGAACATGGTATAGCACCCTGTAAGGTATCATCTGCAGTGCCCAACATATAAACAAAGTTACTATATTTGTGGGGCAGTGATGGTGTATGGCTTTAACCCCAGCATTTGGAAGGCAGAAGCAGGCAGATCTCTGTGAGTTCAAAGCCAGCCTAGTCTACAGAGCTAGTTCTAGGACAACCAAGGTTATCAAAGACAAAGGCTATCAAGACAAAGAAACCCTATCTTGAAAAACAAAACAAACAAAGAAAATTATTACATTTATTTTAAAGCAGAATTTTGTAACCCAATAGGCATAAACCCAGAAGTTGAAGTAAATTGATAACATCAACAGGACTTAAAAGAAAAGATGATCACAGAGAATTTTAAGAGAGCAGAAACAACTTTTAAAAATGAGCTGACTGAAAATTTGGACCAGAAAAGTACACCTGAAATAAAGGCTTCAGTGTTTGGGCTACAGAGGGACTGAGCTTGTTTGTTGCTTCATGATACTGATTTAATTTGGTCAATTTTTAAAAAATTGTTTTATTTTCAAAAAATATTTGTAGATTTGATTAGATTTCAAGCTAGCTTCTGTCTAGAATTAGCATGTGAAAACATTTATATTTCTTCCTGTTTGAATATTTGGTCCTCATCTCCATCTGAATGTTTTAAGCTTTAAACACCTCCAACAGGAGCTTTTCTATCCTTGACATATAATCTGAGAAGAAAAACAAAACAAAACTATTTTTGGTGACAAAATGGGTGTGGGGCTAAAAAATGTTTATTATTAGCCCTATAATTATTACAGTGGTATCATTTAACTCACTATCACAATTAATAAGATGCAGACACCTGTTAGATTTTATAATTGCCTTATTTAAGTTGGGCCAGGCAGATATTTCTATCTACCCTATCTCAAGAATCCCATGCCATCTGCCTTAACTATTCCTGTCTGGGCTACCTTCCATCCATAATCTTATAAATACTTGCTTACATTTTTCATCTTGATGCTTTCTCCATCTATGCTATCCTCAGATTCCTTCCTCCTGCTCAGCATGGTACCTTCTCCAAGCTAACCCATTGTGGCCAACTCCTTCTTCCTCTCTTCCTTCTCTCTTTCCACCTTGATTCTGATTCTCCTGAGCCCAAAGCTACACCTACCCCATTATGCCCTGTCCAGATTTTAGGCCTTTTAGTTAACCAATCAGGAATAATGTCTTAGACAGGTTTATACAAAAAGGATAGGGCACTAACCAGATCTTGAGAACCAATAAATATCATCAAAATACAAACACCAGAACAATCCCCACACAAAACCACTGGCTGACAAACATGTAATCTCAGCACTCTGTAGGAGGAGGTAGAAAGATTGACATTGAAGTTCAGTCTGGACTATGTAAGACCCTATATCAAAAACAAATAAAAATACCTGACCAGTGGCACATGCTTGTAATCCCAGCTCTCTGGGAAGCAGAGGCAAATAGATCTCTATGAGTTTGAGGCCAGCCTCGTCTGCAAAGTGAGTCTAGGATAGCCAAGACTACACAGAGAAGCCCTGTCTCTAAACATCAGAAAAAAGTGCTTGACTAGGTAGGGCAGGAACAAGAATAGGAGAGAAGGAGGAAAGAAGTTCAGGGGAGGTTTTGTTGGAGTGGCTCAGTGTTTCTGGGGAGGGTGATACAAAATTCTGTGGGAACTGCAGGTAGTCAACTGAAATGTTCTATGGCAGAGAGAGACAGAGAGAGGTGGCACTCATCTAAAGATTGTGAACTTCTTTTGACTAGCAGAATGAGGGAAAGAAGCCATAAACACATTCAACAAGATGTAAATTGGGGTCTTTCTTTCTTCAGTGAAACCTTGAGGTAGGTCAGGTCGATCTTGCTTAAGTTGGTTGTGAATTGAGCACCTTTGTTGTGTTTTGCTGCTTTTACTAAGGCAGGAGAATGAGGGAATCTGATGTCCAGAACTGTCTTCTTTATC